CACCAGGCATGGTCCTACAATCCAATCACCTCTTCAAGGTCCACCTTTCAATGACCATAATAAGATTTCCCACCCTCAACAGTGACAGTGGGGGCTAAGTTTCTGATACATAAAACTTAGGGGACAATTCAAGCTTCAGTGAGTTTGGGGGGATGAATCCAGTACAGAACCTAAGCATAAAAAATGAATAGTTTTCCCTATATCTTTGGGTCTTCATTCTGAAGGCTCCCATGTCATGCAAAACTACAATCAAATACATTTGTTACATCTTTTTTCCTATTAATCTGTGTCTGTCAGTTGATTTTTAGTGAACCTTCAGGGGCTTGAAAGGGAAGTTTTCCCTGGGCTCCTACAAAGGCATCAGAGTTGCAAGAGAAGATAGAAATTAGACATGAGCCTGGAATCTGGGTCACTATTGCCATGGAGGTGGCTGAGGAGCGATGTGGGGAGAGAAAGCTGGAGTGAACCCAAAAGGTACCCATGGTGATCTCCTCCACATTGGATTGGAACCCCAAAAGGCTGCACACTCAGAGTAAAAGTGAATGAGAGGTAAAGACAAAACAGAACAAAATAAATGGAAACCTACCTTGAACAGACCGCGGCCTGATGTTAAGACACCTGGGGGCCTAGAAATTCTCAATTTTTGAAAACAAAGTTAGGTAATTCCAGATTGCTAGAAGGCTAGGAGCCTTACAGAAGCTGTGAAAGTCTTTTAGCCCTCAAATTATTTCTACAAATAATTCCAAATACAATGCCAGGCAAACAAACTGAGTCAGACACAGGAGTAGACAAGATGACATTAATAAGTAGAAACAACCAACAATAGAAATAGACCCACGGGGAGACAGAAATAAGAATTGGAATAGAGATTATGAGACCAGAGTTAGAATATGCAGCCTTAACTTCACCCAAGTGCTTTGCAGGCCTGTGCAAGGCAGCCTGGAGAGACAGTCCACATAAATTAATAGTGCACCACATCAGACAAAACAGAAGAAACAAATGTAGTATAATTCCATTTACCATTCCCTTCTTGTCTCCTAGGCTACTGCAATCATATGTTTTACTGCTGCAAACTTCGGTAGAGGATTTATTTTCTTTTTCTTTTTTCATTTTCTCTTTCTCCTCTTTTATTTCTTTCTCTCTCATCTTTTTCTTCCTCCCACTTCCTTCTCCTTCTTGACATGTCAGTCTATGCTTCTTTCCTTCCCAATAGTTTTAGCCAATAATGTGGCTACAGCTACTGCTGTCTCAAGACCTTCACTGGCCAGGCAAATTTCCAAGCATTTGCATGGAATGTCAGCTTTCAGATTATTTATTCCACAGATAGACTGTTGCTTATTTGTTTAACTCTTCTCAGTATATTCCGTATCTGACCTTTAAAATCAGATTTCAGTATTCTTTTTTTTTTTGTCTTTTTCGTGACCGGTAAGGGAATCACAACCCTTGGTGTGGGGTCGCCTGCACCGCGCTCAGCCAGTGAGCGCACGGGCATTCCTATATAGGATCCAAACCCACGGCAGGAGCATCGCTGCGCTCCCAGTGCCGCACTCTCCTGACTGTGCCATGGGGTCGGCCCAGATTTCAGTATTCTTGAGCATACTCAGAATTTTGCTGTTCATATTTAGAGAATGCTTCCTTCTTGGGTATCATTTCAGTTATAATCAATGCACAATTTCCTTTTCAATGTCTGGATCCATGTTAAAACATATTTAAAACAGATAATAATCACTTTAAGTAGCATCTCATAAATTGCACATTCTTTCTCTCTTTTGAAATTGACAAGCACATTATGAGATAGGTGTTATTGTGTTAATTTACACACGAAAAAGTTGAGGCTTGTACATATGACAAGATCATGCTCAGGGTTCCCCTGCTGCTCAGTGCTGGAGTGGGTGGACAGCCAAGTTTCTGGAACCCTTGTCTGCCTCTCCTTAGGTCTTTATGGTGAATGAGGGAGATGAGTTCACATTTCAGTGAATCAAACTGATCCCAAGCTTTACCTCTAACCAACCAACTCAGAACAAGGCCATTTCCCACCCAGAGCAAGCATTTGCAAAAAAGGCTTGATACTTGTCTATATTTTGCAAAAAAGACTCTCAGGATATGTCGTTTTCAAGTGGACTATTGTCATGTTCTTTTGTGAAGATGGGGTCAATGTTGCTCTAGTAATTGTTTAATAATAGCCTGGTCAGGGGAGCCGATTTGTAGAGTGTGTTGATTTCTGTAAACACTCCCATCATGGCTGATTTCAAGCTACCAACATGATGTTACTGAACATTCCTGGGGTTGGGAAGAGATGCACAGTAGCTCACCATTATATAGTGTTCCTATCATATAGTACATAATAGAGTAAAAGTTATTAGTAAAATGAATAGGATGTAATGAGTTTTGAGCATTTGTTACCCTTGTTCTTACTATGATTTATTTAAGCTTACATAATTTAATTTTTAATAATGGCTGTGTTTCATAATCAGCTTGTAAGTTCCTAAAAATTCAACAATTGGCTCTGGCATGTGTGGGCTCCAGCGTACTGCTGGATGAGAAGCTCAGAATAAGCAGGTACAGGACAACAGATCAGATCACAAAATTCTACACCAGGCCAATTGGTCAGGGTTATAATTTGGATAGTATCTGCTGTAACACACTAGGTACAACTCTACAAAGGGGCTGGTCCAAGGGACACCCAAGGCCTATGTCCCTCATCCTGAGTTTCTGAGCTTCGGGCAATGTATCAGTCCGTTTTGTGTTACTATAACAGAATACCTGAGACTGGGTGATTTATAAAGAAAAACGAAATTTATTTGCTTACAGTTTCTGAGGCTGGGAAGTCCAAATCCATCTGGTGGTAGCAACAGTAATCCAGGGGTCTCACACTGCAAGATGGTGGATGCAGAGAGAGCAGAGAGAGAAAGACAGACTCTCTCCTCTTTTTTAGCTCTCAGAGCCACACCCCTGACCACCGTTTTTAATCCATTCACTACGGCATGGCCCTATGATCTAATCACCTCTTTAAGGTTCCACCTTTCAATGACCAAATAGGATTTCCCACCCTCTTAACAGTCACGGTGGAAGCTAAGTTTCTAATACATAAAACTTGGGGGACACAATTCAAGCTTCAGTAGTTTTGGGGGGACATAATTCAATCCACTACAGGTAATAATTGCACTTTGGCCAATGCTAAAATATTAGCACTGGAATTTCAATTAAATGTTTACAAGAGTTTGAGTTTGCAGTCAATGTTTCAAATTGTAGGGACATCTGATTGAACATAGAGCATTTTTGATTTACCAGCTTTAAGAACGTGTGTACTTGGATCAGCCACTCTCAGTTTCTCAGTCTGGCTCCCAGAGCAGCAGCAGCAGCAGCTGGGAGCTCATTAGAAATGCAAGTTCTCAGGCTCCGCCCCAGACATGCTGAGTCAGGAACTCTTGGGGTGGGGCCCAGCACATGTGTCTTAATGAGCCTCCAAGGAGTTCCCAAGCACTCAAGTTTGAGAAGCATTGCTGCCTAGGGGAACGTTAATTACTTGAAGTAAATTGGATATTAGATAAAGTGCCTTACAGAGTCCAGGACATTTTTCTCAGTGCATGAAACCTTTTGGACCTTAAGGAATTTATCGGCTTTTCTCACCAAACCCTTTGTTCTCCTCCAGCCCTTACAACATTTTTCCCTTTTGTTTTAAAGTCCGGGATGAAGTAACCAAACGCTGCTGCTGTTTCCTCTCTGGGTTTGAGAAATAGAGCTCTGTGATTGAAATCTGCCGTAAGTAAAGGCAGTGCCAGTGATGACTGATCAGATATTAATTTTTATTTGTTCGAAGTTTCCCTTGACTTTGTTTTAAGCAGAACACCAAGTCCTTCTGTCGCCTTATTACCTTTTGCAAGGTGAAAAGCAGGCACTGCTTGTGCCTGTGTGTGTGTGCATGTGTTGTTTGACACCAAGTCCTTCTGTCGCCTTATTACCTTTTGCAAGGTGAAAAGCAGGCACTGCTTGTGCGTGTGTGTGCATGTGTTGTTTATGTGTGATGTGTGTGTATGTGGTGTGTGTGTGTGTGCTGTATGTGATATGGGGTGTGTGTGTGGTGTGTGTGGAATGGAGTGTGTGTGTGGAATGGTGTGCGTGTGTGGTGTGGTATGTGTGTGTGTGGTGTGTGTGGAATGGAGTGTGTGTGTGGAATGGTGTGCGTGTGTGGTGTGGTGTGGTATATCTGGTATGGTGTGTGTGGTATGTGTGGTATAGTGTGTAGTGTGTGTGTGATTTGGTATGTGTGTGGGGTGTGTGGTGTGTGTGGTATGTGTGGTATAGTGTGTAGTGTGTGTGTGATTTGGTATGTGTGTGGGATGTGTTATGAGTTTTGTGTGGCAGTGCGTGTGGTGTGTGTGGTATGGGGTGTGTGTGGAACGGTGTGTGTGATATGTTGGTGAGTGTGTGGCATGTGTGTGTGGTGCGTGTGGCATGTGTGTGGGGTGTGTAGCATGTGTGGTATGGGGTGTGTGTGGAATGGTGTGTGTGATATGTGTGGTGTGTGTGATATGTGTGGTGTGTGTGTGGTGTGTGTGTGGCATGTGTGTGGTGTGTGTGGTATGGAGTGTGTGGAATGGTGTGTGATATGTGTGGTGTGTGTGTGGCATGTGTGGGGTGTGTGGTGTGTGTGGAATGGTGTGTGTGATATGTGTGGTGTGTGTGTGGCATGTGTGTGGGGTGTGTGGTGTGTGTGGTATGGGGTGTGTGTGTGGAATGGGGTGTGTGTGGCATGTGTGTGGGGTGTGTGTGATGTGTTTGTATGTGGTGTGTGTGGTGGTGTGCGGTATGTGTGGTATTGTGTGTGTGCGTGCTTTCAATCCTGAGCTCACAGAAGAGATGATGCTGGGGTCTACCGAGGGGAGGGCGGAGATTCCAGGGCAGGAGAGCGGCAGGGAGGTTCTGGGGCCCCATGAGAACGGGGACAGTGCCCGTGGCCTAACCTGGAGGGCGACAAGGTCTCTGCGGGGCCCAGCGGCATGGTGCAGCGGGGAGAAACGCCTCCATCTCGGCACGGGGCGCTGTGCCTCGTGAGTCCCCGTGTGGCAGGGAGGGAGACGGGATATTCTACAGCGCTGGGGGATGGTAGAGCCAGATTGGAGCGGATCTGGAGACAGGGAAGGAACAGGGGCTTGTGCACTGGGGACCGTGAGCGCAGCCTCCCCGCCGCTCGGCCACCGCGTGCGGTACCCGGGGAAGCCCCCTGCGCGCGGCCTTGCTCTTCCTTTTCTTTCCGTTTTACGTAGAAAGAATATGACAAACAAAGCCAGGCTAAAGTGAAAACCGATGATTGCTTGAAATCGTACGACTTTATCAGGAGGCGGTTTCTGCACGTCGGGGGAGGAGGTGTCTTCAGGGAGAGGGTGGGGGCCTCACCGCCAGCGGAGCCAGGGCTGCGGCGACACCCCGCGCGCCCAGACGTTCTGCGTCCGGGGAGATGGTTGCACGTGCACCGGGCGACCTGAGGACGGCGCCGCTGGGCTGCACCGGTGGGCTTGCTTTCTGGGCTTAGGGTGATCTGCGCTGGGAGACTTGCGTCTGGGAATTGTCCAAATTAGCATTTTTCTTATTGAGTTCTATATTTAAATATCAGAGAAAGGAATCCTGTCATATTTGCAGCAAAAAATTTTTTTTGGTTTGTCCTTTATCTTCTAACTTTGTTTGACATATTTTTGTATACAGATAAGTGTAAACCTTTCTACAGCCAAATATCAGCATATCTTTTCCTTCACTTTTTAAATTGTTTTTTGTCTTTTCCCCCCCTTCCCCCCCACCCCCATTGCTTTAGTACTTAGCCTTTTCCTGCATTGGAATTAGTTACTTATTAACCACTTTTTCTCATCTAGTAGCTTTTATGGTTTGCTAATATAAAACTAGGTTTATTTTGGCGTGTGAAACACGAGTCAGAATTTAAATTGATTTCTTTTCCCTAAATACTTGGACAATATCCTCAACACTGTTTGTTGAATAATACATTTCTTACTCATTTGTGTACTTTGCTTCTTTTTTCAAAATGACAGTTTTAGGGGCCGGCCCAGTGGCGCACTCGGTAGAGGGCGGCGCTCCCACGAGGGTTCGGTTCCCATATAGAGACCGGTCCACTCACTGGTTGAGCGCGGTGCGGGCGCGACACCGAGGGTTGCGATCCCGTTGCTGGTCACGAAAAAAAGACAAAAAGGAAAAAAAAAATGACAGTTTTATTGAGTTGTAATTTACATACTGCAAAATTCACCCATTTTAAATGTATAATTCAACAAATTTGAGTAAATATATACAACTATGCACCTGTCAGCACCATCCAGTTGTAGAACACGTTCATGACCCCTTAAAATATACCTTGTGTCCACTTGCCTTTAATCTTCACCCCTCCCCACAAACCCAGGCAATCACTGACATGTTTTCTGTCTCTATGGATCTCCCTTTTCTGGACATTTCATATCGTTGCAATCATATAATATGTGGTGTTTTGCACCTGGCTTCTTTCAGTTAGCATAACGTTTTTGAGGTTCATCCATGCCGTAGCACGTGTCAGTAGTTTTATACCTTTTTATTGGCAAGTAATATTCCATTGTATGGGTATACTAGATTTTATTTATCCATTCATCAGTCAATGGAGATTTGTGTTGTTTCCCCCTTTTGACTGTTATGAATAATATTATGAAAAATGCTGCTATAAAACATTCACGTATAAATCCTGTGTGGACAAATGTTTTTATTTCTCTGGGGTAGATTCCTAGGACTGAAATTCCTGGATCATGTGGTAAGTTTATATTTAACTTTTTTTTTTTTTTTTTGGTTTTTTGTGTGACTGGTAAGGGGATCGGAACCCTTGGCTTGGTGTCGCCCACACCGCACTCAGCCAGTGAGCGCACAGGCCATCTCTATATAGGATCCGAACCCGCGGCGGGAGTGCCGCACTCTCCTGAGTGAGCCACGGGGTCGGCCCTATATTTAACTTTTTAAATAAACTAACAAACTTTTGCACAATGACTGCACCATTTTACATTCCCATCAGCAATGCAGGAGGTTTCTAGGTGTCTTACATCGTCACCAACACTTATTATTGCATGTCTTTAAAAAAAATATTACATCTGCTTCTTTTTTATGGTTTAAATTGTTTTAGATGCCAGACTTTTCCAGGGTTATAGTTTAAGAGGACTTATAATTTCAATTCCTTCTATAGCAAGGGAAATCTAAACAGCTGTTTCCCTACTTAATGCATTCTTATCCCAGGTTCTAGCAACTTCCATGAAAGCTTATTTCCCCTAAAAGGTAAAGGAAAATTAAATATTTATTTTCTGTCCTTTGCCCAATGCTTGAAAAATAATCGAACTCAGTGCTAAGTGAATTTTGGCTCTGTTCTTTGAGCCTGATGGTTGCTTACTTCTTTTGGCTCGGAGAGGATGAAAACATAGAACTATCCCCGAGTCCTTGTGACCCTCACTCGTAAAGCCACACAGTCTTCCTGGACGTGGAGCAAGGCTTTTCTCCACATTAATCATTCAGAAGGTTCTTCTTTGCTCTGTGACCTTCACCCCAGCTTTGGAGCTACTTCCAGGGACATCTGGCTGTCCCAAGCAGTAAACAGCAGACCAGGACCTAGAAGGCAGGTCTCCATGTGCAGACGCAGGGTGTCTGCTGGTCCACCAACCTGGCTATGCCCAGCTCACGCCAGCTCTTTGCTCTTTGGCTTTCTCTTGGCATGCTTTGGCTTGCTTGGTCACGGTGTCCTTGAGAACACCAGGTTTTTCCACTGTGCAGGATGGAATTTTTCATTGTGTGGTGTCTTCTCCACAGATCTTTTTGCCACCTGACTGGCAGAATTAGACACCAGGGTAAAGAACTCCCTGGTCAGATGACCATCCCAGCCCCTGTTTCTTGCCATCTGTCAGGACACTTGGACATTTCACTGTGGTCTGCATAGCGCAGGGTGGAGCCAACATGAGAAGGCGTGTTTTGCTTCACAAGCTGATGTTTACTTCTGCGCAGCCCTAGTGGGTTCCAGGCAGACAGGCGTAAGTGGGGCGGGAGGTTCTAATCACAGATGCTGAGTCGTTTACTGGGTGTAGAAGGACGGCCCAGAGGACAGCACGTTTTCTTCCTAGAGCTCTTGCTGGGCAGGCTTGGGGAACTTTAGGAAGAATTTCATAGAATATACAGAAACTTTTCTTCTTTTTAAAATACAACTCACATATCATTACCATCCGTTTCAAAAAATGAATCCACTTAATTCATCCTAGTGGAATTAAATAAAAATAGTTAAGTTTATGCACGTATTTTTACTTTTTTCTTTTGTGAAATCTGATACACATTCAGAAAAGTTCAGAAAACTTCTGAGCCATGGCTCAATTAATTATTATAAGTCAAACCTCCATGTAAACACCACCCAGTGTAACAAATGGCACCTGACCAGCCTGCAAGAATCCCTCCCGCCTCTCTCTGGGTGGTCCCTGTCAATCACAGTCTCCACACCCCCCTGCGGGCTGCTCCTCTAGTTACGTTACAGTAACTAGTTCCCTAGCTTCCTCAGTAATTTTACCCTCTCAGCACCGTCTCTAAACTGTATCGTTGGCTTTTGGTTTTACTTTCTTAATGGTCTCTGTTGATGGACAATGAACATCTCCGAGCCAAAAGAAGGAAGCAGCCATCAGGCTCAAAGAACAGAACCAAAATTTGCTTAGCACTGAGTTCAATTATTTTTCAAGCATTGGGCAAAGGATGGAAAATAAACAAGTTCTCAATTTTTTTTTTTTACCGTTTGTTCTTTTTTTTAACTATTATTATTGAAACATAGTTGATTGTGCATATCTCTGGGGTACAGTTGAATATCAATACCTGTGTGCAATATGTGATGCTCAAATCAGGATGATTAGTATATTCAACATTACACAATGTAATTGTTCTTTTTTTTTTTTTTTTTTTGTGACGGGTAAGGGGATCGCAACCCTTGGCTTGGTGTCGCCCGCACTGCGCTCAGCCAGTGAGCGCACCGGCCATCCCTATACAGGATCCGAACCTGTGGCCTCGGCGCTTCCAGCGCCGCACTCTCCCAAGTGAGCCACAGGGTCGGCCCCAATGTAATTGTTCTTTACGGCCCTCTACCAACTCTTCCCTTCCCCCCACTTCACCCTCCCCTTTCTCCGCCTCTGGTAACCTCAGTTCTGTTCTCTCCTTTTTTTTGATATTCAATAAATTTATTTTATGTTAATTTTTTGCCTTCATTATTTTATTAGGAACTATTCTCAACAGAAAATTCTCATACATATATAATTTTTCTAATTTTACAAATATTTTTACGTAACAGTCACCTACAAGGGGGATTTTTAACTCATTGGGTAAGACACTTTTAATATACTTATACTCACCCAAAGCTTTGGAAGGTAGGTGTTTCCCCACATCCTCACCAACACTGGACATTATTCATATTAAACATTTTTGACAATCTGAAAGGCACACAAGTATATCTAATTGTTCTATTTTTATTTTTCCTGCTCCCAGGTACTATGTGTTTTTTTTAATTAATTAATTAAATGTTTAGATAGAAAATTATTTTCTCAACATACAAATGAAGGAAATCATCACAAATTGAATACAAAGTCAATTGATAAGGAACAGATTTAACACACAAAGATTAACATCCTCCATGCATAAAGAACTCTTTTTTTTTTTTGGCAGCTGGCTGGTGCAGGGAATAAAGAACTCTTAAAAATTAATTAGAAAAGTCTTGACAGAAATTTGGTGAAGGACATGAGCAGACAAGTCACACACCCTTTAGAAACACATGTGGCTAATAAGTACTTTCTAAGATGTTCATAGAAATGGAAATTAAAACAGAAAAATAATATTTTCATTTCTCAAACTGAAAAAAATATGATACTGTATAGTACTGGTGCTATGAGAGAAACAATGTCAGAATCTTCCAGTATAAGTATAAATTGGTGAAACCTTTTTGAAGAACAGACTGGATTCATAAATAGAAGTCTTTAAAATGTTCATACACTTTCAACCAATTATCCTACTTCTTGAAACT